CCCTTTATTAGAGGCCATCCGGTCTCTGTACAAGCGGAGCAGGAGTTTGGTCCACATTGGACTCTGGCAGGGCTGCCCTTTGTCACCGGTCTAGGCGCAGCCAAGGGCCGGAGGGGGTCTGATTTGGGGACCAGTGGATTTCGTCTCTTCTTTTTGCAGATGACGTGGTCCTGCTGGCCCCCTCTAACCAAGACCTACACCATGTGCTGGGGCAGTTCGCAGCCGAGTGTGAAGTGGCTGGGATGAAGATCAGCTCCTCCAAGTCCGAGGCCATGGTTCTTGACTGGAAAAAGGTGTCTTGTCCTCTTCAGGTTGGAGGGGAGTTCCTGCCTCAAGTGGAGGAGTTCAAGTATCTCGGAGTCTTGTTCACGAGTGAGGGAAGAATGGAGCGGGAGATCAACTGATGGATCTGTGTGGCTGCCGTAGTAATGGGGGCGCTGTGCCGGTCCGTTGTGGTGGAGAGCTGTGCCAAAAAGCGAAGCTCTCGATTTACCTGTCGGCCTACGTTCCTACCCTCACCTATGGCCATGAACTTTGGGTCATGACCGAAAGAACGAGATCGCGGATACAAGCCGCTGAAATGAGCTTCCTCCGTAGTGTGGCCGGGCACTCCCTTAGAGATAGGGTGAGGAGCTCAGCCATCCGGGAGGGGCGCGGAATAGAGCCGCTTCTCCTCCACAGAGAGAGGAGCCAGTTGAAGTGGCTCAGGCATCTATACCGGATGCCTCCTGGACGCCTTCCTCAGGAGGTGTTCCAGGCACGTCCCACCGGGAGGAGGCCCAGGGGACGACCCAGGACACGCTGGAGGGACTATGTCTCTCGGCTGGCCTGGGAACGCCTTGGGCTTCCCCCGGAGGAGCTGGAGTAGGTGTCTAGGGAGAGGGACGTCTGGGTGTCTCCTCTGAGTCTGCTGGTACTGGATAAAGCAGAAGACAACGACATGTAGTATAAAAACAACCAGCATGGTGAGTAAACATAACGACAAGCAAATCAAAATAATGATGAGCATGTAAATAAGCTACGTTCAAACATTTTGATGCTGTGTGACAATTAATTTAATTCAGCTAAGTTTTATGATGATGATTTACACATTTCTGAATCCAGTCTAATTTCTGTCGTCGATTAATTTCTCTCCATTGATTAATTTGTTACCCAGAGTTTATTTTACAGTCAGTTTTAAGTCAAAGTAAAATTTTTGTTTCATCTAACAGTATATTGAATTCTTATTTTCTTTCTGTTTGGTGGAATCAGTGGATTGCAGTACATTAATGTGGAATATGCTTCAACAATGTTGAGCAACACAGGTGGTCAGGCAACGATGCAGGTGGCCAGATTAAAATGCATGTCAGAAACCTGTGGTTGCGTACTTTTTTCCAGTTATTTTATCAACGGCATTTGCAAAACGGGTGGCAGTTTCACCCTTTCAACCCAGAAAGCAGGTTGCGAAACGTGAAGGTTCCGTTTTAGGCCAAAGACTGGTTTGCCTTTTGTCCAACATTTGTTTTATGGTTTCTAGATTAAATAGCAGTGGAGACCCCTCTAAAAATAATAGACCTAGATATACTGATAAGATTAAATATGTCCCTACAGCATTTTACCTTAACTGACATGACTGACAAAAAATTTATTGTGTTAAACGTTGATGTATTTCCTGTTTGATAATAATATTGTTGCTCATGTGCAGCAGCTGCCAAAAAGTTTCATCATTAGATAATATCAGATAAGTCCTCCTTTCATCAGCTTTTAACATCTTAGCCCTTTTACTTCTAGAGCTGTTGTTACATCATACCTTTTGTTCATAAGAAGATATTTTAATCAAATAACTATGTATTAAAGTAGTTATGCATCCAAGAAATGTGTTGTTTATTACCAATGTGGTTTTGTGCAGCATTAAATCACAATTTTGGCGCTTGTAAATTAATAAATTAATAAACGCTCAGTTTGTTCGTATTCTGGGCAAAACATTTAGACATAAATCCTGGTTTACATCATCACCCATGTGTCATTCTGCACTGACAAGCATCATTAGTTTTGCTACCTTTCCCACAAGGGCTATGCAGATTGATGAAACATATTCTTTGAGGAAAGGCATGTCTCAAGAGGTATGCAATACCCAGAGTGTTCAAAGACATGGAAGTCCCCACTTTCAAGTAAGAACTGGAAAAACACCACAGGTGAGTGGTGGGAGGGTATGTTCCAGGTAATTTCATGACTTCGCTGCCTATTGGTACTGAGGGAACACTCCCACAACACCATGCATGTGTATATAAAGAAATCTGTGGTGGTCAGTTGCATCAAAGCAGCAGTTCTTCAGGAGAACTTTGTGGTCTCATTAGCAGAGGTAAGACACATATTTTTAGATGTTGTTGCAGAACAGAAACACATGATTTAACTAAGGATATTGTATTTGTACTTGTATCAAACGGTGTTTGTCCATCTCATTGTGATACAGTGGCTTTGATCTATTTACTTTTGTGAGCTGTCGCAAGGAGAGAAGTTGTTTAATTTGTGTTACATCAATACAGTTTGCCAATAACCCTTTATTGGTATTGCAATGAAAAGGAACGACCCACTGAAAGTGCTGATGATGATTGTTTCTCCCTCTCTCAGGATCAAGGTGGATCTATTTTCAGGAGTAAAAATGTTGGATTATGAAGTGACCGTGTTCACTGCCAATCGTGCCGCTGCCACCACTTTTAACAATGTGTTTATTAAGCTCGTTGGCACAAGTGGAGAAAGTGAACGCAAGTGGCTGTTGAGCATCAGGGGAGCTTCAGCATTTGTCAGAGGAGTGGTAAGTCTGAAAGATTAAGCTTTAAGTTCAAATGTAGCACCTGCTTTATCAGCTTTGCTTGAGACAAAGAATCACAAGATCTATCACTTGTTTAGCAAGAGGGTATGTGTAACAAAGCACAGTTACTGCATTGTTTTGTGTAATACATCCAGGAGAAGTACCATACAGGGACTTGCAAAGTATTCACTGCCATTGAACTTTTTTACATTTTGTCACACTACAATCACAAACTTCAACATATTTAATTTGAATTTTATATGATAGACCAAAGCAAAGTAGAACAGAGTGTCTTAGGATTTTTAACAGAAAATGACAAAAAAGTGAATGAATTTGCCTCTCTTGAGTCAATACTTTGTAAAACCTCCTTTTGCCACAGCTATAGCTGAACATCTTTTGAGGAATTTCTCTACCAGCTTTGCAAATCTACAGTGTTTTTTTTTTTTTGTCCATTATTTTTTGCAAAACAACTCTGACCAGGATATTCCAACAGAGAAATTTGCTTTGATCTAAGCCATTCCATTGTAGCTCTAGCTTAATGTTTAAGCTGGAAAAACAACCTCTGCCACAGATTCTGTGCTTTGCAAACAAGTTTTCTTCTGGGATTAAACTGTTTTTTGCTGCACCCATCTTCCCATCAACTCTGAGCAGCTTCCCTGTCCTTGCTGATGAAAAGCACCCTCAAAGCATTATGCTGCCATCACCATGTTTAACCATGGGGATGCTGTGTTCAGAGTAATGTGCATTGTATGTTTTTCAGACATGCATGGTATTTTATATGTTGGTCAAAACATTCAATCTTGGTTTCAACAGTTCAGAGCACCTTCTTTAACATGTTTGTTGTGTCCCCCACATGGCTTATGCTAAATTTTAAACGAAGATGTCTCATGGTTTCTTTCAAAATTTTTATTTTTTTTTGCCATTCTTGCCATTCAGGTTTTTCTCTGACCTGTCTTCGTGATGCTGTTTGTTCACTAATGTTCTCTAACAAACATCTCAGGCCTTTATAGACCAGCTGGATTTATTCTGAAATAAATCACAAATAAGTGGACAAGTGTTATAAGACCAAAATGTGAAAATGTTTAGGGCATGTGAATACTTTTGAATGGCAATTTTAATGTTTACTAAAATATTATTTTGTATATCCTATACACGCATTGTCTTTTGATGTTTTCAAATTGTCGTTGTTATTGCGATAGGTGGCAACTTTTACAGTTTCCTGCCCCACCTCCCTTGGAAAACTGTTGCTGATAGAGCTTGACAAACAGCCTCTTGTGCTGTTCCCAGAAGATTCTTGGTTCCCTGCCAAAGTGGCAGTCAAATCCCCCGAGGGAGACACTTACAACTTTCCTGTTTACCGCTGGATCACTGACAGCCAGGTGCACCGCTTCAGAGAGGGAACAGGTTTGTGAAACATGCTGAAATTCTGTTAAAAGCTTGGGTCTTTTAAACTAGTGTAAGAAAAATTTATTCCAACACATCCTCACATGACTTATTTTCTCTCTCTTTCTAGCTCTGAGAGGGTTTGAAGATAACCATCATCTTGGCAGGTATAGCCGGGAGCAGGAGCTCAAGCAGCGTCAGAAGAACTATTGGTGAGAGATCAGAGTGGCACGAATTCAAACATCATCCCTGTTTGAGTATTCACTTAGGGATATATTGTTTCTTTCTGTTATTTATAAATTTTTTTGCTGTAATATTATAGTAAACAACTTCCAAATACTATGTAACTTGAGGAAATAAAGTCACAATCACAATGAATTGTAAATTGCCATTTATTGTTTTTTGGTCAAGGCTTATCACTAGTTAAAAACAAATATTCAGTTTCTCAGAAACAAATGTTTTCTTGCACCTAAATGGCAGCCTGCGTAAAGGTTTGTTCATATACTGTACAGTATAGGCATTTAATACTTTGTTTGGGGCTCTTGTTGCATGAATTACTACATTAATGTGGCATTGCACAATAGCAATCAAATACCTGATTTCCAAATGAAACTTAGATTTTAATTTTAAAAGAAGACTTCAGATTTTTCCTTAGCCTAGGTAAGATGCACTTTTCCTTTCACTCAATTTTCTATTAATATGCTTATTAGAAACAGTGCTGTGTGAACAGCCAGCTGGTTTAGCTGTGACCTTTTGTTCCTTACCGTAACTGGGAAGAGTCTCAGTGACTTTCAGCAATTTTCCCCATGATTTTATAAGCCAGGGCTGCATGGTGGCACAGTTGATAGCACTGTTGCCTTGCAAGAAGGTCCTGGGTTCGATTCCCAGCCAGGGGTCTTTCTGCATGGAGTTTGCATGTTCTCCCTGTGCATGCGTGGGTTCTCACCGGGTACTCCTGCTTCCTCCCACAGTCCAAAGACATGCCTGTTAGATTAATTGGTAACTCTAAATTGCCCTTAGGTGTATGAATGAGTGTGTGCGTGGTTGTTTGTGTGTTGCCCTGTGATGGACTGGCGACCTGTCCAGGATGTACCCCGCTTCTCGCCCATAGACTGCTGGAGATAGGCACCAGCTCCCCCACGACCCACTATGGAATAAGCGGTAGAAAATGACTGACTGACATTTTATAAGCTGTTACATGACCACCTGTATTGAAAAAAGAAATTTTATTTTAAGTCTTTGTGTAATATTTTAACTTTTTGAGAAAGTGATTTTTGGTTTTCATTAGCTGTAACCCATAATCACCAAAATGAGCACACATAAATGCTGGAAATATATCACTCTATGCTTAGTAAGATTTACTTTTTAAACTGAATTATGCATTTGATGAATTGGATTTATAATTGAAAGATAAAATATAATTTTCTGTGTACTAATCTAAAATAAAACAGAATATAAAGGCTATCTTTTTCTCAGCTGGGATGTGTATGTGGAGGGAATTCCTCACTGCATGAAGGCAGATGATCTACTTATTCTACCTGCTGAGGTCAGATTCTCCTTTACCAAGCAGACAGAGTTTCTTTTCACAGCAGGCACAGGGTAAAATCCTTTTATTCTGATACATTTGTGCCTTCAATTTGATGTTTTTATGTATACAAACAATAACACAATAACTCTCTTTTTTCATTACTAGACTGACAGAGCTGAAACTGAAGGGGCTGGCTGATTGTAAAAAGGGATGGACGGAGGTTGATGATATCAACAGGGTGTTTTGCTGCAAAGAGTCTGACTTATCAGGTATTGTCTTTGCACTAAAGTAAATTCCACCGAGCCATAAAACCTGTTAAGAGGTAGGTGTGGGTTCACGATTTGTCAGTAGTTGTTAAAGTTTTATTTGCAAATAAAATAGTATAAAGAACAGAGAGACTCTGTTGTTTGGTGGTTGTTTAGATGAATAGGTAAAATAGTTCTTCCTTGAGGTGATGCCTTTACATTTATAGAATGTTTATGCTTCAACAACTTAACAAAAAGTTCAAGCCATTCTATTAGCCTGCATGTAATTCAGCTTGCTTTGTTACAATGTTCAAGAGGTGTATTTATCTTTTAATTTTTGTCTTTATGTGTTGCGTTTTTGTAAAATATCATGTGCAAAAACATTATTATTAATATTACTGAAATAGAAGCCTTACAAGTTTAAACTTTTACTTACAGGTCCTTCTCAAAATATTAGCATATTGTGATAAAGTTCATTATTTTCCATAATGTCATGATGAAAATTTAACATTCATATATTTTAGATTCATTGCACACTAACTGAAATATTTCAG